GGCTACTAATTCTGATACATCATTAGTCATACAGCCTTTTAATGAGGGATTCGCTTTCTTTTCCTGGTTAGCTCTAACACTGATGGCAAAGCCCAGTGAACGTACAAATGTTTAGGGAGGTCTGATTAATACATAACATTGCACAATGTTAACTTAAAATAGGAAGAAAAAGCATTATGGTGAAAAAATGAACATTTGCTTTTTGTGCAAGGAAAATAAGTAGTGCAGAGCTGTGATTAGTAGGCTGTTGTAAAAAAATAACTACAGTAAGATAGATTCTGAAACAAATTCTAGAAAATATAGAAGAAAAATTGTGTTGAGGGGAATGCTGGTGGAAGGGACTGGCTTTATGGCTGACAGCAGTAGGTAAAGAGGTCCTTCGACCATCTGCAACATGGGTGTGTTACAAATAGCAGCAGATGAAGGCTGTTCTTGCACTACCAAATCCACTCTGGGCCCTGAACACCTCACAGAATCACAGAATCCCAAGGGTTGGAAGGGACCGCAAAAGATCATCTAGTCCAAACCCCCTGCTAAAGCAGGGTAACCTAGAGTACATCACACAGGAACTTGTCCAGGAGGGCCTTGAATATGTCCAACATAGGAGACTCCACAACCCCCCCCGGGGAACCTGTTCCAGTGCTCTGTCACTCTCACGTAAAGAAGTTTTTCCTGATGTTCACGTGGAACCTCCTATGCTCCAGTTTACACCCATTGCCCCTTGTCCTGTCACTGAACATCACTGAAAAAAAACCTAGCTCCATCATCCTGACACTCACCCTTTACATATTTGTAAACACTGATGAGGTCACCCCTCAGTCTCCTCTTCTCCAAGCTAAAGAGACCCAGCTCCTTCAGCCTCTCCTCATAAGGGAGGTGTTCCACTCCCTTAATCATCTTTGTGGCTCTGCTCTGGACTCTTTCAAGCAATTCCCTGTCCTTCTTGAACTGAGGGGCCCAGAACTGGATGCAATATTCCAGATGCGGCCTCACCAAGGTAGAGAGGGAGGAGAACCTCTCTTGACCTACTAACCACACCCTTTCTAATACATCCTAGGATGCCATTGGCCTTCTTGGCCACAAGGGCACATTGCTGGCTCATGTTCATCCTCCTATCCACCAGGAGCCCCAGGTCCTTTTCCCCTTCACTACTGTCCAGCAGGTCAGCCCCCAACCTGTACTGGTACATGGGGTTGTTCTTCCCCAGATGCAAGACTCTACACTTGCCCTTGTTGAATTTCATCAGGTTTCTCCCCGCCCAACTCTCCAGCCTGTCCAGGTCTCACTGAATGGCAGCACAGCCTTCTGGTGTGTCAGCCACTCCTCCCATTTGAGAGTCATCAGCGAACTTGCTGAGGGTACACTCAGTTTCCTCATCCAGGTCATTGATGAAAATATTAAACAGCACTGGTCCCAGCACCGACCCCTGAGGGACTCCACTAGTGACAGACCTCCAGCTAGATTCTGCCCCATTGACCACAACTCTGCCTTCTTCCTTTCAACCAGCGCTTGATCCACCTCACTACCTGATCATCAAGCCCACACTTCCTTAGCTTATCTATGAAGATGCTGGGTAGATCTCTGTTCAGCATTTTTATTTCTTAGGTGTCTTCCCCCCCCCCGTTTTTCCCCCCTTTTTTTGTCTTTAATTGAGAGCTTGTTTTGATATTCATTGAACTCAGTGGGAATCTTTCCATCAAATTGAATGCATTAGGTCAGATTCATAATCAGCAGTCACTGAAACAACCTAACAATAGTTTTGTCACACACAAGTGCACTGTCTTAAATGGGATTTGCTTAAGAAAAGCAATAAAACTAATCCATTATAAACACTTGTTATAGCTGAGTTTTGACTGTATATGTATATTTACCAAAACAGTTTCAACCAATTTAAGCCAAATTGAAATTAATGCAGACTCTTGCTCCAGGCAGGAGCATAGGGCAGTTAAATTAAATCACTTTAAACCAGCATATGTTTAGCCACAGCAGTATGATGCTGTGTGTTGGTTAGACTTAGGTCCGGTTGCCTTCCTGCCTTATTTACTGCCTCACGCTGGTGAGGCATTTCGACTTTCTGTGGGGACAAGCCATAGTGTGGTGAAACACATGCTAAGTTTCTTGCTAGGGCAAAAGAAGTTTCTAGGAGGCAAACAAATGTCCACCAAATCTCTTTCTCATGCCTGTTTATATGCTCCTGGTGCTTCATAGCATGTGACATCTTGCAGGTCTCAGTGTGGTTTGCAAAAGCCTGGGTAATCCAGGGCATCTAAACACTGCTGAGGCAGTGCATGTCCTCCTGGAACAGAGCCTTCAAGGAGATCAGTGACCTCTGCAGTCTCCAGCACAAAGCTACAACCTCACGTTTTTGTTTTGCTGTTGTATTGTGCTTTTCCCTTGCTTATGTAAGTGCCCATTCATTACAAATGTCAGGGAAGGGTGCCTGGACTGACAAACTAAAGGAGTGGGTAGCAGAGTGTCAGGACCTCTCCAGGAGGTTGCTGTCCCCCCGTGCACATACAGTAGTGAAGAAGAGGTTGCACAAAGCCGTTGATGTCATCTACCTGTACTTGTGCAAAGCTTTCGGCACTGTCCCACACGACATCCTTGTCTCTAAATTGGAGAGACATTGATTTGATGGATGGACCACTCGGATAAAGAACTGGCTGGATGGCCACACACAAAGAGTTGTGGTCAATGGCTCAATGTCCGGCTGGAGACCAGTAAGGAGTGGTGTCCCTCAGGGATCGGTGTTGGGACCGGTCTTGTTTAACATCTTTGTCACTGACATGGACAGTGGGATTGAGTGCGCCCTCAGCAAGTTTGCTGATTACACCAAGCTGTGTGGTTTGGTTGATACGCTGGAGGGAAGGAATGCCATCCAGAGGGGGCCTATAGGGGTGCTGGGGAGGGACACTTCATTAGGGACTGTAGTGACAGGACAAGGGGTAATGGGTTAAAACTTAAACAGGGGAAGTTTAGATTGGATATAAGGAGGAAATTCTTTCCTGTTAGGGTGGTGAGGCACTGGAATGGGTTGCTCAAGGAAGTTGTGAATGCTTCATCCCTGGTGGTGTTCAAGGCCAGGTTGGACAGAGCCTTGGGTGGCATGGTTTAGTGTGAGGTGTCCCTGCCCATGGCAGGGGGGTTGGAACTTGATGATCTTAAGGTCCTTTCCAACCCTAACTGTTCTATGATTCTAAAGCAGGGCAGTGGAATTGTAACCAGCCAGGGTAAAATCCTTTCAGGATAACCTCCAAGAGCCCTACATATCGCATGCCTGGGAAGATGCCAGTAAGTGAAGAGTCTTCTCATCATCTTCCCTTGTGACCCACTAACCTTTGTTTGAAAGCATGTACCTCCCAGGCATGGTGGTGGAAACTCAGTTTTGCAGCAGTCACATGTTAGCTTCAGCAAGAGTTGTCTCCTTCAGATCTTTCTCTGACTCTGTTGTGAAATGTGAAGGAAATACAGGCCATGATCTTCTTTGACGCCACCTTGTAAAATCCTAGAAATCCAATATGCTGAAGTCATTCTGTATCACTTGACTCTATGTGAGGCACAACAGTTCCGAGCAGACTGGGTGATACAGGACTAGCATCCCTTTCTCCTGATGGGTTTCTTGAAAACTACCGTTTTCTTCACAGCTTGTAAAAGGAAAGTTGATAGGGTGAGTGCACCAGAATGGTTGTGAAAGCTCTGGGTCATGCTTGATGTTTCAACCTAAGAAAACAACATTTTGAAATAAAACCAAATCTGAACGTGTCCTAAAAAAGGCCACAGAGCTACAAGAAAATGATTCTGACGCTGGTAGAAAATGACGTCTCCAGTCTAAATGCACCAATTCTTCTCTGCTAAATGGGAACAAGAAATAGAAATTAACTTTCTCTGTTTCCAGAGAGCTGTACACAGCTGCAGTCCCCAAACTCTTGGTTATGGTCAGGGCTTTGGGTTTACTGAGGGGTTTTTATATACAATTGAGCTGATTTATGAAATTTCCTGTTAAATTTTATTGCACCAATGGCTTTTCTTTGGTTCTTTTGAAGTAGAAAACGTCATTTCTGCAGCAAATGCAAGTCAAAAGTCTTAATGGAGCATAAGAATCTGAAAGGTCATGATTTTATAGATTTGAAATAGAGGACAGTGCACTGCTTGGTACTCTTAAAAACATGAAAAGTTCATGAGGACGTTTATCGATAATGAAAAGACATAGTCATCTCCTGGACCTTTGATTTTGGCTACTTGTGCATTGGCTTTTTAAGGGTGCACTTTTATAAATGGGAAACTCTTCTGATGTCTAGGACTGGCCTGTTTCAGAATCACAGAGCTAACAACATGAGACAGAACCTTTGTCCCAGGGAGGTTATTCAGTACTCTCAACACTCAGTGCTGATTCTCCCTTTGAGCACAGACTGTTGATTGCAGTTGTCTGGCTTCTAGGGACACATAGACTACCTCTGTTTATTTGGCTTTGTTTAAGACCTGTGGGTACAAGCAAATTTTAAACAAATAAGAAACTGTTCTTGTGACAGACATTTTGGTAGCTTTGATGGCTCGCAGTAGCACTCTCATTGTTTTCCACATGCAGATGATTGGAATAGTGTATGGTGTTTTAAAATAAAAAATCTAGAAAAGGTCTCCTGGTGGATTTCTTCTGTGGATTTTGGTTTAATCTGAAGTCTTGAAAATATTTTTTTCCATTTGCATGTGAACAAATTTTTTAATGAACATGTAAGAACTTAGCCAAAATAAAAAAGCCTCCTTGCTGTATCACTTAATGGAGCAGACCTTGAATGGTTCATCTCCAACTGCTTGCAACTGTTTTCTCCAGGTGTGGGCATGGAAAAAGCATTTTATCGTTCACTATCACTGCTGTTGCAGGGAAGTAATGGGAGCAGGTCGCAGGATAGAAGTAATGGAGAAAACCAGTACAGCAGGAGTGGCAAAGCTTTCCTTCTCCTTGTTAACACAGAATGCCCTGTTTTCTGTCGTTGTCTTTGCAGCAGTCCAGCACAGGGGACCTGAGGACTCTGAGGAAGGGGTTGTCTCCGTACCACTCTGAGTCACAGCTCTCATCATTGCCGCAGTATCAAGACGCTCTGCAAAATGTAAGAGATGTTTCCTTACCTATACACAGAGCCGTGGGTTTCCCCAAAAGTGGGCATGGATGGAGGGGGGCACATGAAAGGTAGAGGGGAGCTCTCCCAGCTGAGAATTCACCCTGAAACCAGTACAGCTGTGCAGCTGAAACCTGCAGCTGCAGGGAGGATGGAGAACCCCTGGAAATACTGATAATTGCCTGAGTTTGGACTGTCAGCTTCCCAGCATAGGTTTTTCTGTTAGCGAATGGTCACTGTTGTGTATCTTTTAAAGCAAGGGTGAGTCTTGTTATACCTGCAGCTCTTTCTTTGTCAGTGCTTTGTATGCCTGCTGTCAAAAAGCTGGTCATGGATGAAGCAGAGTATGGTTTGTCAAGTGTCTGGCAGTGCGTGCTTGGGGTTGCTTTAGCAATAAGGTTCTTATGACTTTAATTGCAGGTTTTTCTGTATCAGGAATGAGGTTTATTTTTTCTGAGATATGCCTGCATTGCTTCTTCTTGAACAACAGAATAGTCTTGATTAAAGCCTCTTGCAAAAGTTGGATAATATACTGCTGTGCCAGGGCTCCTCCTGCACTGGTGTGCCAGGCACGGCTGAGAAGGCTGAGGCCTGCCAGTCAGCTGTCTTCCAGGTGTTCTCATGACTGCCTGAGACACTGCATTTGTTTGGTGACACTGTTTTCCAGGCTGCAGGGAAAGCATGGATGCAGTCAGGGAGCCCTGCTGTGAGTGGGCTGCGAGGATTGTGAACGTGAGCAGCAGCCTGGTGGCAGCACAGACAGGGGACCTCTGCCACCCTGTGTCTTCTGCTCTGTGCCCAGAGCACTGGTCAGCAGAGCTGTAGGTGCTGCAGGACTAGTTAGTTTTATGTTGGCTGCCTGCTTGGGTAAAAGCCCTTCTGTAGATTCAGTGTGCCTCTTAGAGCTATAAAACAGCGGGCAATAACAATTTAGGAAAGCACACATAAATAAAACTCCACTGTGAAAGCAGACCCCCTTTCTACCCCTGCTGACCTGCAGGATGGATGGAGACCCTCCAGCCAAAAGAAATGGACAAAACCATGCAAATGCTATGGAAGACTGTGGTTGAATATGCCATTTTCTAACTTTGTGCCCCATATATAAAGTCAGGAGACTTTATAGGGAGAGATGAGTCTCAAGGTGTTTGGCTTTGCCAGTGCTTTAGAGTTCTGGGGATTTTGCTTCACTTCCTTTGTGCTTGGGCTTCTGAACCCAGCTTGGTTCCAGGCACAGTTTTCTATTCATCTTGTGGGTCAGGCTGGGATACAGCCAGCAGCTTCCTGCAGCGGAGCTGTGCCAGGGCTTGGATCTGGCAGGGGACTTCTCTACCTGAGCACTGGCCCCCGCAGCTCACCAGGGCTGGTGGCAGATGGTGCCACTGCTGGAGCCCTTCCCGGCCACTTGTCCCTGCTTTCCCTCCTTCCTCAAGGAAGAGGTGGCAGCTGGCATTTATGGAGAGGTCCAGGTGCTGCGTGACATTCACCATCATCTGTCACCCTGGCTGTGTTCTGCCTTCTTTGTGGGAAGATGATAGATTAAAACAACCAGCTCTAGATCCAAATCCACATTATCTGGGATACTTACATAGCCATTTATCTACCTATTCCTACCAAAATCCCTTTGGTTTGCGGCTTTACATGATGTATTGTTTTTGTGACGAAGAATAGCAATAACAAATTCATGCAGATGTCTTTGAATGCCTCAAGCATATCCCAGAAAGTGGACACTAAGATATACCTGACTTTCTCTGCAGCCTTGTTTTTTTGACAGCAGGCACGAGGTTGTGAGAAATCATTCCTCTTTGTGCCTGCACAGGCTTCACACATGTGAGTGATGGACAATTGGTGTCTGCTCCGAAGCTGTCACATCTGTTCAAGGTCTCATCATCGTCGCTGCCAGTGCAGCTTTTTGGGGAAGATGCTCAGCACATCCCTCGCTGTCACACAGGTTGCACGCAGGCACCACTCCAGCTCTCTTGCGGCCCTGATGTACCTCAGTTAGTGAAACAATTTGTATCTAGTGAATCCTGGATCCTGGACACCAGTGCATGCTCAAGACACCTAATCAAAAGACACTCCGTTGCTCTGTGCGCTGTTTAATGTGCGCATCATGCAGGTGGAGGATTATAGATTTGCTCTGTGAGTCTGCAACAGTTACCAAATACCCACTCCCAGGGGATTAGTTCTGACCTACAGGCCCCTGGCTATTGCAGGGGAAGGTGTGACATGCATGTTTGTCAGCTTGAACTGTGAGCAGGCTGATCAAACTCACCAGCCCTGGGAACTGCAAACCAGAGTCATCTCGTGGTGTAGTAGAGGCTCCTGGTGTTGTTTGGAAAGTGAGGGTGATTCCCTTGGTCTTAGATCCTTAGTGAGGCATGAGAGGAGGTGACAACAAGCAGCTCCTGTGGGACCTATGATTCCCCTTGGATAAGAAGGGCAGGCTCCAGGGCAAACTGATTGGGCCGGCTTGTTCTTTCCTATAGCCAGCAGGCTCCAGACATGTAATGGCTACTTGGGAAGATGAATGCTGTAACTCCAAACATGTCCCCTTCCTTCTTCTTCCCCTGACTTTATATGCTGAGCATGACACCACATGGTACACAGCAGCTTTTGGATTGGTTGGGGTCAGCTGTCCTGGCTGTATCCCCTCCCAGCTCCTTGTGCACACTCAGCCACTGTCTGGTGGGGTGGTGTGAGGAGCAGACCTTGACTCTATGTAAGCACTGTTCAGCAATAATTAAAACATCCCTGTGTTACCAACACTGTTTCCAGCACAAATCCAAACCACAGCCCCATACTAGGTACTGTGAGCTCTACCCCAGCCAAAACCAGCACGCTGGGTGTCAGCAATGGAAACGGTCCCAAAGGTTCCTTGGAGGACTTACGCTTCCAGTTGCTATTTGCCAGGCTGTTGCCATGTCTTCAGTACTTTGTTTCTCCATAGTAGCTGGAACAGGTATTTTTCACCCATGTTGCATTCGTGTCTTACCTGTGGTGCATGTGTTTCCTTTGTGGCTGCTCCATGTGGATGTGGCAACGCTTGGGAGGAGTTACTGTACTAAGCCCTCTGATTTACCACAGAAAGCTGTTGGAGGAGTAACAGGTCAGATGCATGTGTGGCTGGAGTGCATAGAGAAGGTGATGCTCAGTCTGTCCTGGAGACTCTACCAGATCAGAGCTGTTCTGGAGTTTAACAGTACCAGATGGGAGTTACAGACTTCCCATTTTGTTTGTTGTCATTGTCCAAGGAGTCTGGATTACTCAGTCATATGGTCTCACCTCTGGTTAGTGAAATTACATTTCAGTAACACTGAGGGCTTTAAGGAGAATAACATTGGGTTTAGGTAGTTGCCACTGGAGGAGAAGAGGAGCCCTGCTGGTGCAGTACTGTGAATCAAGACTCAGAGCCATGCCTGCCACCATGGAGGGACTCTTCTCTGCAAACATATGCTCCTTCTTTTCACCTCTCCATGCCTCAGTATTTCCCTTGAAGGAATTGGGTGAGAAATCACTCATTCCATAGCATGTTTTTCAGGCAGTTCTTTACTATTAAGCTAAATATCACTGAGTGCTCTAAGATCCTCCAGGGGTGGACACTAAGAGGTGGTGTTTAATTTTTGGAACAGTATAGTGTTGCTGGAGAGTTCACTTATTTCTCTGTGGGCTTTCTGCAGCTTCATTTTAATGATGAGTGAAGACTGGAAGGTGGAGGTGTCCACACTCAGTGTCAGCTCTTGCTCTCTCACTCTCTGTAAAGCCACTCTACACAGTACAAAGGTTAACTTTGGTTACATGTAATGATTGCTGAGTTACTCTTCTGACGTGGGGAGAATGTATGGGGGAAAATGAAACTCCCCATCCACAGCACTAAGCCCTTATTTTGTTACTAATAATCATGTTTCAGCAATTCATTTTCTGAGATGTAAAATCTCAGCTACTGACTTGGGAGCATGAGGTCCCTGTAGCACAGTTAAGGCATGTTCCAGAGCTTGCTTTCTTTGGCCTCTTCTTCCGTGCTCTGGCTGCCTACCTAGACACAGGGTTTCTGCAGACTTCCACATTCCTGCCTGCTGCTCCAGGCATGTCTCAGTGCCCAGGCATGGGAAGGTGGCCTGAGGGCAGCTCATGTTCCTATGATTGGAGGTACCTTCACCTTGAGAAGCTTATAAGCCAGCTGCCTGGGGAAACCATTTATCCACATTGGCATAAAACACCATTCAGCCAGCTGTTATTACAGTCAGAGCTAGCCTGGCTGGCTTAGACTTTAAATTTACTAGCAGCCTTCATGTGACTTATAATAGGAATCCTGCCTTTGGTGGGAGTAACTGTAGAGGTTTGTAATGGAAACATTAAGATTAGCGTGGATGGAGTGTGAATGGAAAAGCATGTGAGAACACTAGCAGGAATAGTACTAGTACAAGGGATGCAAGGATGGACTGTGCTGATGACCAAAGACACAACTGACAGCGAGCAAATGGGTAAACACAGCAGGATGTATGGTTTGTGTCAGGACCAAGAGGTCTGTACTGTGATAAGGCCATAGCACAGATGGCTCATCACTAGAAGACCTATTCCCTGATAACACGAGGAAGGTTACACTGTGATGTGCCATGCGCTTCCTGTCATTCCAAGAGGAAGTCTTAGATAAGGTGCCCAAAATGAGGGAGAAGCAACAGGCAGCAGCTTTCTGTGGGTTTATGGTGGGTGAGTAAAGCAAGATGCTGAGATAAGGATCAGCCTGTAATAACCATTGACTCCTAAAGCATGTGAAAAATGTGTCCAAACCCCAGTTTTTGCTATCAATGAGGAGGGATGCCAGAGCTGTCATTAGGATTTGCTGGTGTGTGTGTCCCTTGTCCTCTGTGTCACACACAGTAACCCTGACACGCCACATGGACATCTACCTTTTGGTGAATGCGTAAGCATGAGTTTGTAGGTGTGTGGGTGAGTGACACGTTAGAGGAATAAGTTTTAGGTTAAAAGAAATA